TTTGCCTTGAAAACCCCACAGAGTTCCCAGAAGTCGGCTGCAGCTTGATTTGATGGCACTTTCCTCCACCACCAAAGCAATAAGGGGCTATTTCTTTTCAATAACTTTCACTAGGGGGTTGCCCGACCCCCCCCCCCGGCCACTGGCAGGGAGGGGGTAGTGTTGCCAGCTCCAGGTTGGGAGACTTGGGGAATGGAGCCTGGGGAGGACTGGGAACTTAGTGAGGGTACAATGCCACAGGATCCACCCTCCAAAGCATCCATCTTCTCCAGGGGAACTGATCTCTGTCGTCTGGAGAGGAGCTGTCTTTCCAGGGTGGGTGGGTGGATCTCCAGGTCCCACCTGGAGGCGGGCATCTCTAACTTTCACCCCCACCCAGCCCCATAGCTAGGGAATTTTGGGGGAGGGGGCCTCAGGGGGCCCACCAGCTAATTAAATGAAAGTACAATGCAGGTGGTAAGTTGGAGCACTTTGGAGGCAGCCCGGGAGGGAGGGGCCCCAGAAGAAACACTAGGGGGCCAGGCCCCATGGGCCCCATGTTAGCTACGGGCCAGCCCCCACCCCCACCTTTTCAGGTACTTTGGTGAAATTGTTAAGGTTAAAATTTGTAGGGGGCTTGTATTTCATTCCAATTATCATTTATGATTAGATATTTAGTTTTGCCTTGCTTGCTTCATACATGACTCAGTTTGTTTCTGAGCATATCAGTACATGTACGTCGTTAAAAAAAACATTAGATGAACACATTTTGGCTTTGAATACTGTACAGAATTGGACCTGTTGCTAAACAACACTGTAAGCATGTGTTGTTTTAAACTGTACATTAGTTAAGACAAATTAGTGCTAAGAATACTGAAGTGAATTGCCTTAAATTCAAGCACTTCATTTTAACTAGAATATATGTTCACTAGTTGCCTTCACAAGTTAGTCCCGGCAAATCGAAGAGTGTGTGTTAACACAGCCCTTTTATCCTGATGGGACCTGCCATGAGAATTTATTTATGTACACCCTTCCTTTCTCCCCAGTGGGGTCCCAAAGCAGCTTTACAGGATTCTCCTATTCTCCATTTTAGTCTCACAACAACCCTGTGAGGTGGGTTAGGCTGAGAGGGTGTGCCTGGCCTGTGGTCACTCACGACACAGCAAACTTCCGTGGCAGAGTGGGGATTCGAAACGGTCTCCCTTATCCTAACCCGACACTAACCTCTAAATCCCATTGGTTCTCAAGGGACTTTGATTTTGGCCTGATGTCTTGAAGAAAATAAGTTTCAGACCTTAGTTCTGTGTAGATGTCCATCAGAACAGAAACACAACAGTGGACGAGCTCCAGGCCATTGGTTTGCATTCTGTAGGGAACGTCCAGCTGCAAGTAGCTGTAAACATTTGAAGAGTTCATCTTAATAGAGAAGGTTAGGGTTAGGGTTAGGGTTAGGGTTAGACTCCACTTTGGAGTCTTGTCCAAATGTGTGTTGTTTTTTGATTACAATAAATGATCCCTTCCCTTTGGACAACCCCCACTGTCAGGGCTTTTTTTGTAGAAAAAGCCCAGCAGGAACTCATTAGCACAATAGGCCACACCCAACAGCAGAAACTCATTAGCATATTAGGCCACACCCCATGTCACCAGAAGTGTGGTCATCCAGCTACACCCACCTTTTGCTACATGACTCAGTTTGTTTCTGAGCATATCAGTACATGTACGTCGTTAAAAAAAACATTAGATGAACACATTTTGGCTTTGAATACTGTACAGAATTGGACCTGTTGCTAAACAACACTGTAAGCATGTGTTGTTTTAAACTGTACATTAGTTAAGACAAATTAGTGCTAAGAATACTGAAGTGAATTGCCTTAAATTCAAGCACTTCATTTTAACTAGAATATATGTTCACGAGTTGCCTTCACAAGTTAGTCCCGGCAAATCGAAGAGTGTGTGTTAACACAGCCCTTTTATCCTGATGGGACCTGCCATGAGAATTTATTTATGTACACCCATCCATTTTCTCCAGGGGAAGTGACCTCTGTAGTCTGGAGATGAGCTGTTAATTCCAGTCCCACCTGGAGCCTGGCATTCTTCGGATGTTATGGTGTGAGAATGATGCATGGATTGCTGGACTTCTGAACCAATACTGAGTAATCCTCCCGATAGTTTTGGGGAGATCTGTGGATAATGAAAGATCCTGCATCTGTACTTCTACATACAATATCCTTTTATTTATGCCTTGTTCTTGCTTCATGACAGTTCACTGTTTTCCACACATAACGATCAGTGATCCGGGATCCTTCCACAGTGCCTTGTAGCTTAGTGGCGATTCATTTAAAGAGTCAACATTTAGTGCCATTTACTCTTCCATTTTTTATTTTCATTTGCCCCTTGATGCATCTGGCACTAGGCTAATATCAGGAACTCATTTGGAATAGTCTTTGGCCGCCAGTACAATAACCGTATTGACACCAAAGTCCCGTAGAAGGCTTAATAGCCTACTGGATAATCACAGGCTATATTACACATTCTTAAAATGAAGTAATTCCAGTAATTCTTCTGATTTGTTCAAAGGTGAGCCAGAAGACCAGGGACCAAGGAGCCTGTAAAGAAGGAAAGAAATTATCATTGTAAAAAAGAAAGAAACAGCTGTTGACCTGGTGAGAAGAATCCTGAAAAAATCTCAGCACAGATTATAATTCTTGAGTAATTAGTTGTTGTAGATTTTCCGGGCTGTGTGGCCGTGGTCTTGGCATTGTAGGACCTGAAGTTTCGCCAGCAGCTATGACTGGCATCCTCAGAGGTATAACACAGAAAGGTGGAGTACTCTCTGTGTAAAGGTGAGAAGAAAAATGGTAGGCAGGTAATTTATATCTACTCAGGAAGGTGGGGGTAGGGCAGGAAACAGGAAACCCCCTCAGGAAACAATCCATATGCAAAAGAACCTCCTCAGGAAACAGCCAATCCATATGCAAAAGGACCTCCTCAGGAAAGCTCCTCCATTAGCATGTCACAGCCTGGGGAATTCCTACATGATAATGACTCAGCCCTACCCCACCTTCCTGAGTGGGGTTCTTTTGCATATGGATGCCGGTGCTATGCGGTTACATACAAGCATCGTTCTTACTCCACAGACTAGGGTTCCCAACCCCCCCACTCTGGCCCGGGGTTTCCCCGATTTTCGGGGCTTCAGTCCACCATCGACCGGCAGCTGGCTGGCAGGGGAAGCTCCACCCCCAAACAGGGACATCGCCGCGCAATGTCCCTGTCATGACGACATTACCCAGAAGCAACATCGTAACACTGCTGATGTTGAGGGGGTGCCACTGTAGTTATGTCCAGACTCTATGGTTTTGAGGGCAAAAAACCCCATAGAGTTTTGCCCAAAAACTAGAGTGGCACTCTCTTGATGTCACCTCCAGGTGATGTCACCATAGCGTGCGGCGCACCTCACACATGTGCCCGAAGTTCCTGCAAAAACCGGAGGGTGTCCCCCCCCCCCTCCGCCGCCAGCAGTCGGTAAGGACCCGGCAACCCTACCACTGACGTTCACTTTGTCATTGTATATAATGACAACACTTAGCAGTGAAAGCTGGGAGTCCAGATGCCAAGTATGCAAAAGGCATCTTGCAGTTGTGTAACACAGCCAGGGGTCATTTCCTGCAGGAGCGCACAGGAGCGGAGCTCCAGCAGTAAAGAGCCCAGTAAAGAGCACATGCAACAAGCCCCACCCCCTGCTCCCAGCAGCCCTCAGTCAGAGCCAGAAGCAGCCAGGTAAGCTGCAAAGCCCGCCCCCCCCCCAGCCCAAAGCAGTCCAGTGGCACCTTTAAGACCAAGTTTTATTCAGGTACAAGCTCTCCCTCCTCTGCGAGGACAGATCTGCACGTTCCCCCCCCCCCCGCAATAGCTAGCAATCCAAAACAGTCCAGTGGAGCCTGAGCAGTGGGTGTTGCCTACTGACACACTTCCGGTGATGTCAGGGGGTGTGGCATATGCAAATAAGTTATGCTAATGAGCTCCTGCACCTCTTTTTCTACAAAATGAGCCCTGATACACAGCAATACAAGCTAATGAGTTTTGAGTATAGTATGCCAAAACATTTTTTTTTAAAGGAAGCTTACCATTCGCATCCATGTTGGTACAAAACCTTTGTATAGAGACAGAAACCCTTCACCTTGAATTGCCTGAAACAGGCAGTCAGTGGATGATTTATACAGCAAACCCCTAGAAGGGATTACAAAAAGCAAAGTTTGATGTCATATTTCTTGAAATAATTCTTCAAAATTTGATTCTTTTTCCTAACCACAGACCTAAATAATACATCATTTAGGATTAATTCTGTCCAATAAAGTATCATAAATGTCTCTTAAATTTTGCATAGCAGCTGTTCTGGAGAGGGTGTTCCGTTCTAACAAATGGACACTTGCCAGTAGCACAGAAGATTAAGGATGCAGCCTGTAGACTGGGTTTTGATCTACGGACTGTATCCTTAATCTTCTGTGCTGTTGGCAAGTGTTCATTTGTTAGAATATCTGCTATGCAAAATTTAAGAACCTCTGGTTCTCAACTGTAATTAAAAGCAGGAAATATTTGACATACCTTCCATGTTCATCTCTTGGTTGATTCATTATTCGGGTTTTGATCACATCTGCAGGAGTACCCAAAACAGCCGCTACCACCCCGGAACATCCACTGTTAAACCAACATTTGAACAAAATACACATATCATAGCCTGCGTGTCCAAAGAAAAGCAAATCCACCTGCCCCCAGGCTTCTGTTTGCCAATGAAACAAGTCCTAAGATTTGTTCACTAAAGGAAAATGGGCACAAATTTTCAAATACAGTTGTGCATTACCCCTGTGCATTTTTTTAAAAAATAAGGCTACCGATTTGCTTTCAATTAGATAAATACAAACAGGGCTATTTTTGGGCAGGAACGCACAGGAACGGAGTTCCGGCTGGCTCCTGCCACACACACCCTAATGTAGCCAATCCTAATGAGTTTTTGCTGTTGGGTGTGGCCTATTATACTAATGAGTTCCTGCTGGGCGTGGCCAACTTGGGAGCCAGCCGGAACTCTGTTCCTGTGCGTTCCTGCCCAAAAATAGCAGGAAATAGCCTGGAAATGGGCACAAATTTTCATATACAGTTGTGCATTACCCATGTGCATTTTTCTAAAAAAATAAGGCTACCGTAATTTGCTTTCAATTAGATAAATACAAATCTAGACTGCAGCCTTGCAAATACCGTCTCAAAGGGTGACTGCTGACTCCCCATTCTGCCCACTTCACTGCTTTTCCTCTCCCCTGTTTTTCCCCTCATCTCCCAAGTGTCCATGTGTGCTACTGTAGCACAGCAGTCTTTTCTCCCTGGCCACCGAAATGCATCACTACAGAATGGCACAATGTTACCAACCTCCAGGTGGGGCCTGGAGACCTCCTGGAATGACAGATCATCCCTAGCTTACAGAGAGCAGTCCTCCTTGGAGAAAATGGCTGCTCTGTGGCATGATTCCCTGCTGAGGTCCTGCCCCAGGCTCCACCCCAAAATCTGGAATTTCCCAAAATGGAGTTGGCAGTCTTACAATGGCGGCGGCTGCCACTCGCCCACCTCCTTCCCACTTAAGCCAGGACAGAGTGGAGAGCCTGGCAGCGATCATAAAACGTCTGCACCTTGGGAAGAGGAGGTGCAACCAGGACTCCCTCCTTACAAGGCTGCCAAACAGGTGACATTTTCAGAACATTTAGCCTGCCAAGATAAAT